AAATTTTATTGTTAATGAATGATCAAATATATTTCTCTATTAATTCTTCTTTCTCTTATCTGTTATGCTATGTGCATGTTAAATCAACAGCTTGTAAGTGTGGAATTTTATTTATAAAAATGAACAACACATTTTATTGTTAACGAATGATCGTAATATATTCTCTATTAATTCTTCTTTCTCTTATCTGCTGTTATGCTATGTGAATGTTAAATCAACAGAAAGTAAGTGTAGAGTTTTATTTATAAAAAATGAACAACATATTTAATTGTTAATGAGTGATAGAATATATTTCTCTATTAATTCTTCTTTATCTTATCCATTATCTGTTATTTCTCACACGTTAAACTAGGCGGTGAGTATAATATTGATATTTTATATCTAATTTATTTCACGAAAATGTTTGAATAGTTGATAGCAATAATTAATTAATGTACAGAGAATCTAATTATGGAAAATGCAATAAATGTAAACAGTATAACACGTTTTATGCCTGGTGTCAGACGTGCGATTTCGAAACAATTGTTCAAGGGTAGTCAAGTGGAGAGAAAGATGTCAATAATAATATTAAAGAACTTATTAAAGAATTTCAATGCGAAGCTATAATGCATGATGAGGTGATTGAATGGATCCCATTTGATAGACTAACAAATGTTAAAAAAATTGGTGAAGGGGGTTTTGGCTCAGTATATTCAGCAATTTGGTTGGATGGTATACGAGTAACTGAACATAATAACGATAACTGAAAAAGGTCGCATAAAGAATCATCTAAGGTTGCACTCAAAACTTTGCCTAATCCTAAAGATCTTTCTGAATGTTTAAAAGAAGTAAGTTAAAATTGACTTGTTGTCATAAAGTTTTTTATGTATTAAACAAATATATTAATATAAATTCATTTAATAAGTTTAAAAATCATATGCAATGTATATTAATGGGAAGTGAATTAGAAATATATGGATTAAATAAAAGTACTGAAAATAATAACTACCTGATAGTACTTCAATTTGCTGATAATGGAAGTCTTAATAAGTTTTTAGAAAATAAATTTAAAGAACTTACATGGGAACATAAATTATCGCAACTTATGGATATATCAAATGATTTAGTAAAAATTCACAAAGCAGGATATACTCATAGTGATTTTCATAGTGGAAATATTTTGCAAAATAAAATTGGTGAAACTATATTTTCTTATATTGCAGAACTTGGATTATCTAAAAAATTTGAACAAAATAAAAATGATGAAATTAGTGGAGTTCTACCTTATGTCGCACCTGAAGTTCTACAAGACAAAAATTATATACTGGCAGCTGATATCTATAGACTAGGCATTATTATGACAGAGATGTCATCTGGGCAGAAACCTTTTGATGGTCGTCCATTTGATCTTAAACTTTCAATTGATATTTGCCGAGGATTACGACCAGAATTTGGTGATGGAACTCCAAAATGTTATATTAGGTTAGCTAAAAGATGTATAGACACAGATCCACAGAAACGGCCTACTGCAAATGAAATTTGTTTAAAGCTTCATCATCTTTGGTGTTATATTTGTTACAATATATCTGATAAACTACGCATAAAAGATGAATTCTTAGCTGCTGATAAAACTATTAAATCATTACCGGATATCACACGAAAACATCAAGATCATATGTATACCAGCAAAATTATAAACACAGAGAGAATTTCAAGCGCAGTTAAAGGTACTTATTTTAATAATTACACTATATTATTTACTTATTTATTTAAGCTAACTATGTTATATTAGCAGCTTTAACAAGTAGACCTATTGATTTTGTTGAAGTTCCTAATGGTAAGTACATCGAACATACGGTATTAATGATCAAACAAATTTATACTTATTTTATATTTTGTATTTAGGTTAATTCCTTTAATATACAAATTACTGTCAATATATAATTTTTGATTTCAATACTATTAATATGAAAATATGAAAATATCAAAAATATAAATATATCTTGTTTAAAAATTGAGTTATTATTTTTTAATTTATTATATTGCTAATGCTGAAAGTTTATAAATTTTGGGTTAAATAGACTAATTAGCTACAAAGGCGATGAGAAAATAGTTGAAGTTTAAAGCAGGATTTTTCATAATGCAACAGGAATGTAATATGACTTTATCAAAAATTATTATAACAAAGTTTTTCTAATTTTTAAATAGAAAAGGTAATGAAATTTTGGACTTATAGAAATTGCTAAAAAATTTGCAACAAATCTAATTTTTTTATTATAAATATATTTGCAGATTTCTTATTTGATTCAATGTAATGTAATATCCTAGTCATAAGTTTTACATATTATTTCTTGGCTTTTCTTTCTTACACAATTGGCAACTTATTAATGATCTCATTCCTTTGCCAGGTATACTTTGAGGATCATTTTCGTCAAGTACTCTTTCGATAGCATGCTTTACACGTCACAATTCCATTTAAGCTTCTTATTTCCTTGCAACTGCAATAGTGACTGATCCTTATTTTACTATAATAATATTTGCTTTTCTATTTCTTTGCTGCATTGGCGTTTTTGATTTTTATTGGCATGTTTTATACTTTTTTTGACAATCTATTTTTTATGCCAATTTCATGGAATCTCTGAAATAATGTTCATAACTTTTGCAGTCTATTCCAATACGACAAAATAGCATTTTCTACGTTCATTTGCAAGACAGTTCCTGAAATAATGTTCATGTTTTTTTACAAATGTTTGGTTTGTAATAACTCATCATTTTAAATTATTCAAGTAAAGTTCACTTCAAAAGGCCCAAATTGGTACAAATCCTAAATCCCCCAAAAAAATTGCTATTTATAAAAAATTCAATAAAAAAAATGTCTTTGATATTTTGTAAATAGATTCTATATAACTATAAGAATATATTTAATTTGTTTAGATATAAAGATTAATTTATCCTGAGTTTGGGATTTGAACGTGGCTAACTATAATAATTTGAGATTTGGGCGGCAAGTATGCAAAAGGGAAATAATAAATCAATATTACGCCACCTGCTTGTATTTATAAACTTCACAATGTTAAATTAAGCAATGCAAAGTTATTGTCTTCTAATTGACTATATATACTATTTTAATTATTGAACAGATAATGATCTCATATTTTTTTTATTTATATCCTTAATTGGTCTTCTCAGGACCGATCCAACTATAAAAATTATCATTATGCTTACCAGAGTTACTAATTAATTCTACCAAAATTATGATTATTATATATACTATTTTAACTATTGAACAGATAATGATCTCATATTTTTTTTATTTATATCCTTAATTGGTCTTCTCAGGACCGATCCAACCATAAAAATTATCATTATGCTTACCAAAGTTACTAATTAATTCTACCAAAATTATGATTACCAGAGTTTTTCGCGTCATAATAGTAATAACAAAATACTGAAAGAAAACTAATTGCTAGACAATTAAAAATATTTTGAATAAAGGATTTATAAAATAAAATATACCAGCGTAAATAAACATTTAACATAATAAAAGGTTGTGTAAGCTTTTTCAAAATCAATTCATTCATAACTAATCTTATTCATTAAATGGAATTGGGATAAAATTATTAGTTTTTGATAGCTTTGGTAGCTGGTCAATAGAGATGCGAACTGTTATTTATTGAATATCTAAATAATAGTTTAATCCATTGGATATCCATTGGATTTACTTTCATTTTGATATTCAACGGATATAACAGTTCACTTCACTAGTCTTCAAGCTTTTCTTTCGGATTTTATTTATTTGTTAAAGTGGACTTTGTCTATAACAATAAATTTTATTATTTGAACTCAGTTTATTTTGATGACCTCTATTTGCAATCGGAGAATGAACTGGCTTTATATAGAAAAAAAGTGTACTGATTAAAGTTATCACTCTTGTAAATTTAAAATTGTATTTATTAGATCAATTACACATTTCTAAACAAATAAATATATATTTTCGACAGTGTTGTAAATGTTAAACAAAAAGAAGCATATATGTAAAAGGCGGCATTGAATTTAATTCAATAGAATATTTTATTTGTTCCTTAACAAGTATTACACTTAATTACATTCGAAAACAAATTGAATAGACAGTATTATATAACATTTATAAAATGAAAATAAAAATAATATAAAATAACAATAAAATATTTTATTTAACATTATCTCTTAGAACCTTCAGACTTTGATCGATGAGGATCTATATATTAAAATATAAAAATGGTAGAAACAAATTTGCATAAAAAGTAACAAATTAACTAAAAACTTACTGACAAAGCAATCACTTTTATAATCAAATTTTTAAGCTTATAGTAATCAGTAATGCTGGATGGAACTTTAATTGTAAAGATTTCCTGTATAATAACATATCGATCAACAGATACCATTCTTTTAATCACAATATCAAATCCTTCCGTTGATGCTCCAAAGATTTGAAAATTTTTAGGTAATGAACGCCCTTTTCCTTTCTCTTGGCTAACAATATAATTTATATTATTTCGCATTTGTTTACTTAATTTGGCAAAATCATTCCTGATCTTTTTCTGAATCTGATTTGTCGGGCTTCCTGCAACCTCTAAGGTGAAGATCTTATAATCTGAATAATTTTGAACCGTAAAGTCTGGTCTTGTTCCATTTGCGGATTCTTGGGAATTTTGGAGTTTATTATATTTTGACGATATTGATGCTGAATCTCTATAGAGAAAATATGTTAAAATTTCTGAAATAATTGTGAAGCAATAGAATATATATTACTTACTAACTAGTGTAAGAACCATCTATATCTGCCAATATATCGAGACATGATTCTAAGACCTCTGTACAAAATTTTAGTTCAGACATTTTTAATGAAAAAAAATCACTCTTTCTAAATTTTTTAAGACTAATCAATTTATTATTTCAATAAATCAGAGAATTTGAAAAGTCAACTTTCTAATTATTAGATTAATTCTACAAGTTTTTAGTAATAAGATCTGTAATATACATTACAATTTTTGTACAGTATCGAAAATGAAAGTAATTTGGCATTCTTTAAAAGTTTTAATTCCCAAATTTACTAATTTCTGTTTCTGTTCCACCTTCTTGAATATATATTTAGCATTAAGGGTCTAAATATTATTAATAATAATAAATCAAAGTTATCAAATCAAAGAAAGAAATAGCAGTGCATTTATATTACCTCTTTACTTTTCTCTTCATCCTTAAAAATAGAAATTATATTATCTAAATAACCATTGATTTCTTCATCTACTTCTACATTTGCAGGTGGAAACAAATTTCTCAAAAAATGAGTTTCATTTTTTTGCAATAAGTTGTTTACTCAATTAATATCCAAAATATAGTCCTTAATAATTCTTTTTGGAAATGATTAGAGTATTGAATAATTAACAAACATTTTTATGTACATTAATAGTACCTATCATTTGCAGTTTTTTTACGCAAACAGTTCCATATGTTGAAGATAGTAGTGCTTTGCTTAGAAGGAATGAAAACAATCACAGAAGAATAGTCATTTAAAATATGGTTTGCTTTTTTACAGCATCTTACTGGGTATTTTTTATTTTTGCTAATTGCTTTCAAGGAGTTTATCCAAATTTCTTCACTGCATTTTTCAGTTGTCAAGAATTTGAGACATCCATCATAACTCCACTTGTTTACATCAACTTCTCTAAAATAATCATCTATTTCTGGCATTCTAAAAATCAAGAAAATATAATAAGAATAATGCATGTACCTATTATTTCGATTAATTTATTAATATAATTTTCTCAGCAATTGAATTAATAAACTACCGCACAACGTTCTTTGAGCTCAACTTAAACTGCTGCACAGTGTTCTTTGAATTTTAGACGAATCGAACGATAGACCACTAAACTGTTACGCAGCATTATTAAACTGTTGCATAACGTTCCTCGGTCTAACGGACGAAGCATCAAACATCATTGAATAATTATATAACGCAATTTCATTCATAAAGTTCTTACCTAGTGAACGTTTTCAATGTTTCGTATGTTGATTAACAAAGATTCATATTGATATATATATATATATTGAAATATTCTCAGGAAATAATAAAAAACAAGAATTATGCATGTTTTTTCAATATCTGTGCGAAAGAGGGATGAAGATTTCCAAATCGACTAATCTTTATGATGCAAGTACTTAAGGGATCGACAATCATTTATATTGCTGTATTGAATCTCACACCTGATGCACAGCATATAGAAATTATTTTTATAATATAGGTGTAATATTGACGGTTTAAATGATTTATGTACGTAAGTTTATTTATTGTTAAAACTTGTTAACGTTACATTTATTTTAAATTTTTTATAAATAAAAATAAACACCATGTGCAGTACAAATTATAAACAATAATATTTTTTAAAAAACAATATGTATATAAGTTTTATTATTTAAATTTTTGCTTAAATTTTAAAGGAATAAATTGATAAAAATGTCTTAAGAAGTTCAAGAAAAAATTAAAGTTATTAACCAATTATATCAAGAAATTTGTAATGATTATCTCGAAACTTTTCAGATAAAAAAAAATGGAACTATCAAAGTGACAAATGAAAATTGTATTAAAGTACAAAATTTTCTTGAAAAATATAATTCAATTTTAAGAGGAATTGGTTTTGATTTAAGTGAAATTGAACCTATAGAACCAGCAAAATTTTCAGAAACAAGAAAGCGTAATAAAATTAAAGTAAATTATTAAAACTATATGGTGTTGCAAATCAACTTTACTTAAGTTCTTGTAAGATTTTATGTATTCAACCTAATCATGATTATATTAGTATTCAAATAATTGATGGATTAGAAGATAAAACAAAAAATGAATAATTAATTTAAATTTATATTATGTTTTAAAAATTATTTTTATATTTTTTATTTTATAATTATTTTAAAATAAATAAAGATATATAATTAGATTTTAATTCCAGAGGAAAATCTGGATTAATCTAATACGCTGAAATTTTTATGGTAAACTATTGAATATACAGTTTTCAATTTCTATTTTATGAATAGATAAGACTTGTTAAATACATTGAAGTGAGAGGTTTCCAGATGCGATGTGCAAAGATTGCTCATTCCACAAGAATTACCCATATTGGCAGATTTTTTATAATAAATAAATGCTTTTGTCCATCCTTATCAACCCAAATTCCATCTAGATAGCAACCTCCAAGCTTGCATATTCCATCGGAATTATCCATGTCAGTAGATTTTGATATGGATTGCAAGTCATGGAAGGACATTCGCCTGATTGGTTGATGCAAATCAATTACCCGGGTGGTTTATTTATATACTTTGAAAAAACATCATACTTCTGACAAACTTTACTTAGAAGACTGTGCGAAACTATACTGTAGAATAAAAGTAACTGGAAATGTTTTTGTCTCTAAAATTACTTTAATACGTCAGACTCAATAAACTTTTATTGCTAGCTTTTAATTTGAATAAGTACAAGACTCTTAGCAATAGAAGATCTGGGTTTAATGTTTAAATGTAGTCGGTTCTTGTGATGTGTGTTTGTTCTGTTGGCCTGGGTTTATTAGTATAAATATTACATTTACCCTACTTTACATGTATATGTTGTAAGTGGAAGCGGAATTAAGTGGAAACGGAATTTTTATATAAACCCAGCATTTTGGGGTTGATTTTAACAAAATATAGTCCTTAATAAATCTTTTGGAAATGATTAGAGTATTGAGTAATTAACAAACATTTTTATGTACGTTAATAGTACCTATCATTTGCGGCTTTTTTACGCAAATGGGTCCATATGTTGAAGATAGTAGTACTTTGCTTAGATGGAATGAAAACAATCACAGAAGAATAGTTATTTAAAATATGGTTTGCTTTTTTACGGCATCTTACTGGATATTTTTTATTTTTGCTAATCGCTTTCAAGGAGCTTATCCAAATTTCTTCACTGCATTTTTCAATTGCCAAGAATTTGAGAAATCCATCATAACTCCACTTGTTTACATCAGCTTCTCTAAAATAGTCATCTACTTCTGACATTCTAAAAATCAAGAAAATATAATAAGAATAATGCATGTATCTATTATGTACTTTAAAAAGCGCATGAAGAGGAATTCAACAAATATAATTTTACACGTATAAATTTATTAGATTAGAAGTCATTAAGATTTAAATTTTATAAATTTTTACTATTAAGAAAAATAGCCAGCAAAAATTCTTATTATTGATCTTCACTATATGACTTTGATTATATTTGAACTTAAGCGTTAGCGATTGGTGGACATGTCTAATCTTTGTAATCGATTTGATTATTGCCATCGCTATAGAATCAAAGACAATAGTGTATTTATTTTTGGAAGGCTTTGTTTTTTATCGCCACGTCACGGTAATGCACTACAGACCCTAATTGGCTAATAAATCAAAGATTTCATGAAAATTTCTGAATCTTTTTTTATAAAAAATCTTTGTACTTAAATCTCTATATATTACATAATTATTTTATATCATTTTCTGAGTTGTAATTAGCGTTATGTACTCGCAGTTCTAAATCACGTATAAAACTATAATCACGCTCACTATTGCAACACATATTGCCATTACAATAGATATTTAACAGATCGTGAAATAGACACATATACCAAATATAATTAACTTTATGCTGTGACATTCTACTTTGTTTTTTTGTGATACACACAAAATGCAATTGTACAGCATATAATATCATTTAAGGAAGGATATTACGGGGATAAACCAATTTATTCTCAAATTATAATAGTTTTGGGTATTAAGACTCAGGTAAAGCTTTCAGTGTCATCATCACAGTCGCTAGAATTAGTGTTGGGACACATTTATTACTGCGTAATGTAGCAATGGAATTTATATAAAAAATCTTTCTGCTACGTATACTGTAGTATAGTTAATAATAGAGCTGGTCATAACAGTTTTTTGGCCTTTGTATCAAAATTAATGATTATGGGACTCATTGAAGCATTAAATAGAATAACTGAAATAATATTATATAACAAAACGTCTTGATATTTATTTATATTGATATTAATTCACTAGCGTCAAATGAACAGTTCATATGACTCCAATTACATGGAATGCAAATGATAAGTCCGCTCTTTTAAATGTGGACTCAAATGAACTTAAAGTAAATTATACGGGTGAGAACACATATTTTTATAAGTGTATGAAAAAGCACTCAAAAATTCATAATTAACTTACTGGTATAGATATTTCACATAAAAAATGGAGGATACATAATTTACTACCTTCTTAAATTTTTTGCAAAATAAAAAAGGTCCTGGAAACAATAACAAAGATGCTGTAATTCGTACGAATAAACCAATTCCGTCACAATGCAAATTGTTTTATTTTGAAATTGATATTATAAATAATGAAGGAAATGGGTAAGATGCAAAAGCATCTGTTAACTTTAAATAAATTTTATTTCCTTATAATTTTTAATTTTTTAAAAGAATTATTACAATCAGATTTTGCATGAGATCAGCTAAACTAAATAAATTACCCAGTAATTATAGAACCTAAGTTTTATCAACTATAAAAATATCTTATTCGTATTCTTATTATTTATTAAATATTCATAGGGTGTGGTAAGGATTTGTGGGGATATCATAGTGATGATGAAAATTTTTTCGATTGTTCAGAAATCGAAGAACCATATGGGCCTGGATTTGAAACTAACAATACTATCGGATGCCTTTTAAACTTTAGAAATAACACTGTGTTATATACCAAAAATGGCATGAATCTAGGTAATTATTATTTATTTCCTAAATTTATTTGAGTTTTATTTGAGTGATAAAGATTGATGTTTACACCATTTTTTAAGGAATTGCATCTCGAGACTTAAAATATAATGAATTTTGTGAAAAAAAAGATTCGAAGACTGATCTTTATTATTCTTGCATTGGAATAAGATCAGAATACGGGACAATATCTATAGAGGCGAACTTTGGACATAAAAACTTTAAATATACAGGTAATTCTTTTATCTTATCTTTTATCTAGCATTGATAATTACATGTCTAATTTTTTTAAATTTATTTTAATATTACTTTCATGAATAGCAATAACTGATAATGATATTGATGATGATCGAGTGAAAGAAGAATGGAATAAAGCCTTTAAAAAATATGATAATGAAGAAATTATTAAGGATTTTATAAATTCATTAAATTCACTCAAAATTGACCAAAAAAATATGCTGAGATACAATGCAAAAGCTAATTTTATTATGGGAGAATATGAAAAGGCGCTTGCAAATTTAAACGATCTGCTTAAAATTGAACAAAACAATACATTCGTGTTGAGATATCGTGGAGAAACTTATCTTATATTAAATGAATATGAAAAATCAAATGCGGACTTAACAATATTATTAAAAATAAACGAAGATGATAAATGGGCATTAAAGGCAAATGAAGAAATTGATAGGCGGTAATTATCGTTAGAATTTTATTCATAAAAAGTGGTCAACATATTTTATTGTCAACGGACAAAAAAAAATATGTTTCTATTATTTTTTCTTATCTGTTATCCATTATTCACTCTTTTGTTATGCTATATGTGTGTTAAATCAACAGTGCATAAGTGTAGAATTATTTATTCATAAAAAAATATACATTTTTCTATTAATTTTTCTTTCTCTTATCTGTTACATATCCATTATTCACTCT